GTCAGGTCTGAGCCTGGCTGCAGGCAGCCTTGCTTTGTTTTCCCTGTCCATGCGCTGGGGTACGCCGCCAGCCAACTGCAGCAGATGAGCGAGGGCTGAGTGCTGGAAGTACTAACGTGCTTTCCCTCCAAATCCTTGCAGGGCGAATCTTTGCCAACACCTTGGATTCAGCCTGTCTCCTGGGCATGCGCAGACGGAGCCTCGTCTTCCAGCCGCTTGCCGAACTCGAAAACCAGACAGATTTTGAGTAGGTGTTTCTCCCCCTTTCCTATGCCTCTGCCACAGTGGGGATGAGCCAACAAGTAAGGGGGGGCGGATACATAAACAACGTTTCAAAGGGCTAGGCAGCAAGGAGGGAGGCTGTAGAGGGTTGGTCTCCAAGGCACAGGAATATCAGAGCCTGGACATCAGGTAAATCTCCCTACTGGGGAGCTCGCTTAACACAGAGAAGACGCCCCAAGAGTAGCAGGGGAGGTCTCCCTGTTCAATTCATTTAAGAAGCTGACAGGAGAACACTGCGAAGGGTCAGAGCAGTCGTGCCATAAAGACCAGAAACAGCATGAAAAAGGGCTTTTGAATCCAGAGGCAAAGGAGTAAAGAGACCCAAGAGCTGAAAGTTGAAGCTAGATAAAAATCACATGGTTGGAAATGAACCATGTGCCTCAAACCAGAGTAACAAACAATGGGAGCAGCTTCCCAAGGGACGCAGCGGATCCTCACCCTACAAGTTACGCTCTAGCTCTACCCAAAGCCACAGGTTGGCTCCAGGAATTGCTGGGTGAGGTTCTGCGCCTGGAAGATTTACCTGACTCAGCTCTGGGGTGGGGCTGGAGAGGAGGGGTTCACAGAGCAGGCTGCCCCAGAGAGAGAGAACTACCCCAACCCACTCACCCCACAGCAGCCTGGGGCCAGGGGCGATGTGCCTATCCATGGCTGCTGCAGTGGGCACAGCTGAGGGAGGGATGGACAGACACAGAAACTCTCTGAAATATCTAGTGGATAGCTGTCCCTTTCTCCACCCCTGCCCTCTGCTGGCCCAGTGGGGTTATAGCTTTCTTGTACCCCATCTCTGACCCATTACTGCCCTCTGTGGTCATTCTGCAGTATAACTGTCCCTCCTACCAGACTCCCTCCCCTTTCCATTTAATGAGGAACAATCAAATTCCAGACATCCCATTGCCCTGGTACAACCAAACCCTGACCTTGCTTTAAATTATAAGAGGAAGTTGCATTTGGTGGTTCTAGCGCTTACCATTTGAGTAGTTCTGGAACGGATGGACAGACAGGTGCACATTTCTAAACTATATGGTAAGATTAACAAGCAGCATCACACGGACACACACACACACATATGCCCGAGTGATACAGGGGCGTGAAATAAGAATTCGCTACCAATCACAGTTCTTTTCTTTTCTGTTAGTTCCCCTCCTGTGCTCCTCATCATAGTATCCAAGGTCCTTCCCGTGATGCATTCGTCAATGTCTCACGTCCCCGCTTTGTGAGTGGTTTTACACTACCTGGTCCTTGTTCCCCAACAGGCACCGCATCCCCAAACAACAATGGTGGCTAAAACTTCGTCCAATCTTAAAGATCCTGGCCAAATACAAGATCGACTTGGATACCTCAGAGAAAGCCCACTTGGAACACGTTGCACGCAAGGGGCTGCCGGTTGAAGCCAACATCTGAAAAGCTGGAGAAGCAACACGGCTGGCACATGAGCAGATCTCCCTCTAAAAATAGGTTTTGGCATCAGGGACCTCTGAAATAAAGTTCTCGTTGTTTTAGCTCATGGCCCCAGCTCGGCATGCAGGAATCTATCATTTATACAGTAGTGGGGCTGCAGTCAGCGCCATGTGCACGAAATTAAACATACGACTCACAGGATGGCAATGCAGTACCCTGGTGTATAGAGCTACCTAATTTATGGTTTAAACTGCTTTGAAATGCATTTTCTGGGGCTGATTTAGCTTCCCTGGGGTAGATTAAATGGATGTGTTGGTCAGGCTTCTTTTATATCCAAGTTCATCGCTTTAAAACTTGAGATTGTAATTTACGTCACAGTATTAAAAGAAACCCTCGTTTCTGAACTGGCTCATGTTGTGGCAGGAAGTGTTAGCAAAATGAGAATAAATGCTATGGGTACGGTTACTAGAACACCTCTTCACTGCTCCAGACACTTGAAAGACCAGAAATCGCTTGACCAGGGAGTTGTCTGCATCCGCCTTTCTGAATCCCGTTAGAGATTTGTATTATGGTAGCACAGAGGAACCCTCAGCGTGGATCAAGCCTCACTGTGTTACGGGCCGTGCAAACATGCAGCATGAAGACAGACCCATCCCCAATGAGCTTGTAACAGTGGTGGGCACCTTGTGGCCAATGGTTCGCCTGCAGCCCATTGGGGTTCTAAGTATGCCCCACTGAGACACTGTTTGGCCTATGGGTACTCCAGCCCATGAGTAATGAATGAAATTG